TAAAAGCTATTTTGATATCTGGAGCCTTTTTTATATTTCTTGTCAAGTTTTATTGGCTGACAAGAACAAGCTTTTTCATAAACTTTTGCACAAATTAAATATACTAAACATATTGGGTAAGCATTCAAATGAAATTTTAATAATGTTAACATTATAATAATAAATTTATTTGTAAAACAAGTATTATATTTATTTATTGTAATTTTTGAAATTGGAACAACAATGTAATTTAATTTATGATGTAGATATTATATCAATATTACAGTAAATAAAAATTCAAAAATATTTTTATACTGGCCGAAAAATTTTTTGGCTAATTTTTTTATAGGTGTTCCAGGAATAATAAAAACAGCTGTAAGTGAAAATTGTTTCTGAGTCAATTTTACTATAATGCGAACTTATTTTTTAAGAAATTCTATTTTTGTAAAAAAAAAATTAAAAAGTTAATTCTGACTGGAATTTAGTAAACAGTTTTGAAATGTGGGCCAAAATTTTGGCCGGCAGCCAATCAAAATCAAGGATCAGCTGGTCCAAATTTGTTGCAACAATTTGGACTAGCAGATTTTCGATTTTGATTGGCTAAGAGCGACAATCATAAAATTAGGCCAGAATAATTGATTAAATAATTGATCAGCAATAGTCAACTAATAGCTGCTTTAGCCGATCGGCTAACCGGCTAAGAGTCGATAACTGATCATAGTCGACCAAACCCATCCCTACATAGGGGTATGAATAACAAAAATAGGAATACGAATAACAATTCCCTAATTTTAAACTATAACGATTCCAATACTAACTAACTTTAATTTAATTATATACTAAGGTTTTCAGAATGGTGAGTTCTGTAGTATAATTTTTACAGATAATCTATTACAAACCAACTCGACCACATACTGTGGTTACTGGAATAGCAAGTAAATAATTTACAGAGATCACAATAATTTCTTATATAATGCAACTTTAACTATATAGAAATCAAGATAATTCTGATGCCAATTCAATATTTACTGTTGTCATCAGAATAGTAAAAATTATAATAATTCTACAATCAATCTCAACTGCATAATAAGATCATTAGACAAGTAAGTTTGTAACAGAATTTATTATAATAATCCATGATGAAATATTAATAATTTTAATACAAACTAACTCGACCCTAACTACTTTATATCGTATCAACAAATAAGTTCTATAACAGAAAGTTTTACAGTAACGTGGGATAGAAATTGCATCATAACTATGTATTTGCTACTATAATAAGTTTTGTAACAGAATTTTTTGTATTTCATGATAAAAATCATTATAGTTTTGAATACAAACAAACATGACTTGTTATATACTATTATTGCTAAAATAGTGAGTAAGTTTTGTAATAAAATTTTTATAACAACTCATAGTACAGGTCACAATAAATTTATTACAGACCATATTAGTAAGCTCTATAACAAAATGATTCACTGTAATACATTATAAAATTATAATAATTTTCAATATAAACTAATCTAATCTTAACCAAAATACGTGTTACTATAATAGCAAGTTTTATAAAAAATTTTTTACAATAACTCATAATAGAAATTGTAATTATTTCAATGCAAAATTATTTACAAAATATGTGTAAATAGATTAGTGAATAACTTGTACTGTATTTGCATATAATAGCAGGCCAGGCATTAATTTGAGCCATAGCCCGAATTAAACTTAATTTAGGTTGAGATTCGAAATTACACCCCTGTGCATACGGTACTGTAGATTTGTAATTACTGGAATAGTGATAGGTTCTATAACAGAATTTCACAGTAACTAATAATAGAAATAATCCAATATATTATTGTATCGATTTATAGCATTGTGCTTCAATTATAAAATCTATGTTTACTCTAATCTGACTTTAAATTCATGTTAATTACCACGAAATCTAAAGTAAGATCGGATTCCTGTTAGATTTATATAAGGGAGAGGGGGTATTATTGCGAAGGGGGGTATTATGGCGAATCAGATTATCTCGGGATTCAATTGGATAGAATTTATACCATTCGATTCTACTCGCCAAGTGGAACTGAATGGTGTAAGTTTTTATCCGATTCTGATCACAGGATCACGAGATAATCCCGATTCGTCATATTATCTCTCTACAATATTAAACACAAAGAGGTATTGTGGCGAATCAAGGATATCTTGTGTTCCCATTATCAGAACCGGATGAAATTTATACCATTCGATTCCTCTCATTGAGAGGAATCGAATGATATAAATTTTGTCCGAAATTTCATCCGGCTCTAATCATGGGAACACAAGATATCCTTGATTCGCCATAATACCTCCACGAAATATTTTGTGGTCCAGTAATTAGAACTGAATGATTTTGGTATCATTTGACTCAGCTTGATGAGGCGAATCAGATGATATCAAAATCGTTCAACTTTGATCACAGTATCAATGTGTTATGATCGAAAATATTTTAACTTCGCCACAATACCCCCCTCCCCCTTATGATTATAAAATTTAATTTTAAGTTAATATGTAGATCGAAAAACATCAAAGCTGCAAAGTTTATAGTAATTTTATATATATAAAAAATTTACATGTGACATATCGTGTGACTGATATAAATAAAATTTTAAAAAATTATTAGATAACAATCATCACCCATGTCGATCCGATTTTCATACACATCTTTTTGCAAAGTGCAACAGCGATAGAGATTTTAATCGATTATTATCAATACAAATTAAAGCCAATCGGTTATAATCGATTAATTTAAATCGGTTGTAATCAGTTAGTTGTATATATATCAATTAGAATCAATTTTGATTTCAATCGATTATCATCATCCTTAGCAATAGAAATCGGTCAAAATCAATCGATTATAATCGATTAACTGCTTAAAATCAGTTTTATGAATATTCACAAACTTTTGAACCAAACCCAAACTAAACCTGAACATGTTCTAAAAGTTCGATGTCAAAACCCAACTCGAACTACTTTTTATAATAGATTAGTTTGGGTTTGCCAAACTAAACCCTAAGTTTGGATCGGTTCTGTAGAAGCACTAACTAAATATATATAAATATCAGATAGCTTTGTTCCATGAATACTAGAAAAAAAAAAATATTAGCTTCTTGTTATATAAAATTTCAAAATCCAATTGGTTGGCTCAAAACCATTTTCTGCTATGGGACCAAATATTGTTGAAACTCACAAAACTGGTATACGTAATAAAAAGATTTTATAATATCTGACTATTGGTTAAATGGGTTTGGTGAATCAATCACTTATCAGATTTAGCAAGATCGATTTCGGGAAATATAGTATTATAAGATTGATTTTATTCATGAGATATTAAGAAATAGAATTAATTAACCTGTAGTGAAATAAATAAATAAGAGTTATGCCAATTTAAATAATTCTAAAACGTCAAAACCTTTCGTTAAAACAATCACAAAAATATTAAACTCATAATTAAATTATTAAAAATTCCTATTAAAATATATTTAAAAATCAATTAATAAATTAAGCATTGTATTTACACATCAGTTAGAGGTATAAATATTACGAATACGGTTAACTTACCAGACATGAGACATATATTTTTGCACGGCTATCAAAGCGTTGTATCGAACTTCCGGATCTTCGTGAGTCATTAATTCCATAACTCTTTGTTTTGCACCAATTTCCTGTAAGATTCTAAAAGAAAATACATGATAAAACCATTCGTCATTAAAAACTGATAAAATAAAATTACACACTTCTTTCCATCAGGATAGTATTTCACATATTGTCCCAAATCATGCGCAGCAACACCGAGGACCACATTATCATTGGAAGTACTAAGTAAGCGGGACAAAATTCTATAAAATCAAAGAATAATAAAGTTAACTAATAAAATATAGGTCAGGAAAAAAATTTTTGAAAAAAAAAGTATTTAAATACTTCAATAGCTCGTGATTTTTATCGTTCAATTTTGTGACGTTTTGTTTCCAGAACTGCTCTGATTCATGAGGCGGTGACCATTGAAGCATCCCTGATCGAATTTCAGATGCGTACTCATCAAACGTACTATGTTACAATATCAACTAAATTACTAGAATCTAGTCATGAGATAAATTAATAATAATCGTACCTACGTTAAACTATGGAAATTTTCTTGAAGTTGGGCCTTTAAAAATTCTATATCTTCCACAATTTCGCTATCTGACCATTTTCTAACCGATAAATTCTCACAGAAATTTAGTAATTTAGCAACTAACATTGCAGGCAAATTTGCTTCAGGAGCTTTTTCCACCAGATTCTAAATAAATAAAGATTATAATTATAAAAAATTGTAACATTTTTATTTTTAACAATACATATAATAGTAATAATACCCTGAAAGTCATAATAATGATACGAATTATTTTTTCCTTATTAGCAGATTTAGCAATGTTTATTAATGTAGGTATCAGATCATATTTTCTAATAAATTAAAGAAAAAAACTTCTATTAACATTCGTAATAAGATAAAAAATACACAAGCGATATACTACCTATTGAATTCAACCGCAATATCTCTCTCAAAGGTCAAGAGCCAAAAGCAAAAAATTATTTGATATTGCATCTGTAGTGTAGGATTTTTAACTTTGAGAAAATTGACTAATCTATCATAAACAAAGAAGAGAGATTATTAACATATAAATTGATAAGATACATTTTTAGATTTACTATGTTACTGCAAATCACTAAAATATGCTTACGTATCTACACCGTGAGGCGCCTCCCAGAATTGCAAACGACATGATGGAACTTTCAAAATTGATTCTAATATTTGGACAGTCAGATCGCAAATATTATGATTATTGTTTTTAAGTTTCGAGCTGATCCAACGAATAAACTCCGTGGCATCAAAAGGAAGAGGTCCGGGTGCTGAGCTGTATTAGATTTAATACATTTATCATACCACTCTATAAGGAATTTATGAAATTTCCATGTGCATAAATATTAAAATATGAAAACGTTTTGTACCATATTAATATAGTCAATATTTTAGCCGAACTCAATTGAATAAATTCATCATCGATAGCCAAAGTTCTATAGAATATAAGTTAGACAATTGAATATCATGTTGTTGAGAGTTGATAACATCATTACTCACTTTAAGAACGGATTATAAGGAAGATCGAGACTTTTGGAAGATAACTTGTGAAAATACGATACTCGTTTCTCATCGTCTAAAAAAAAAAATATGGCAAATTTACAAACGATTCTCTGGGCAAAGAAATGATATTAAAATTTCTAACCAGATAGCATATCATTAGTCATGATCAATATATATTGTACCGTATCAGCTCGTTTCAATTTTTCCAAGAGACTCGTATATAACTCTGCATACTTCTCCGCATCCTTCAAATCAATAATGCAATAGATCAAATACCAATTTAAGATTAATTAAGAGTAAAAATTTCAAGAAAGGTACTCGAAATAAACCTGTTGCATGACCGATCTTAATTGCTCACGACTTTGATTATCAATACGTTTCAAAAGGTCAAGTTCATCCACCGTGATTAGTTCAGCTCTTTGATATCCCTAAGATAAAGAAAAATATGCAATAAAAAATGAATTATTTGCTGAATTTATAAGATACATGTTTAGGATAGATTCAGGTTTACTTAGAAAATTTGAGTAAAATACCTCCCAAGGAATTGGTCGCGCGCGTATACCCTCTGTAAGCTCAACTAAATATGAATTAGAGACAAACGCCAAAGGGACATCAGGAACTGATTCGTCATTTGAATTTGTAGAGGCCATTTTTTTAGCAAGTAAACCGATCGAAAACGAAAGGAAAAGATGAAAAGAGTGATTTTGCAACGATTGTAGATAATCTCCAAATAAAGTGAAACTCGATATAATGATTATGTAATCGATCTCCAGGGGTAACAGTATAAACATTCATCACATCTTCACATCTTTTATGGCGTATTATTACATATTACAAGATACAGAGATAACTTTAACAAATGTATAATTCTCGTAATATGGCTTCCACAGCGCTCAAGCGCTTGATGACCGAATACAGAGGTACATTGCTATTTTAAAAATATAAAGCGAATCTAAGTTAATTCCATTTTACTTTTACAGAATTGACTCTGAATGCACCCGAAGGAATAACCGCAGGTACCTTTTGCTATAATTAAGTTTTCCAAGTTTGTTTAAAGTTTAATCATAAAAAGATCAATTAAAGGACCTTTAAACGAGGAATCTTTTTTCGAATGGGAAGCGCTTATAGCGTATGTAATGTGTCTGCTTGTTTATACAGCATTGCTATTTTATAAACTTGGTTGTTAAAAAATTGAAATTTAAAGAGGTCCTGAAGGAACGCCTTATGAAGGTGGTATCTTTCCTGCGGTGCTCCGATTTCCTTCTGATTATCCGTTGTCTCCCCCGACAATGAAATTTACATGCGAAATGTTTCATCCTAATGGTATTTATTTATTTATTTATTTTAATCAATCGGCCCATTCAAACATAATCGCCTTAATTGTTATTATAAATACAGTTTATCCGGATGGAATGGTTTGCATATCAATCCTTCATCCACCTGGTGACGATCCAAATATGTATGAAAGCTCTTCTGAGCGTTGGTCACCGGTTCAAAGTGTCGAGAAAATTCTATTAAGTGTTGTTAGCATGTTAGCTGAACCAAATGATGAAAGTGGCGCCAATATTGAAGCATGTGTAAGTTATTATTATGATTTTTACTTATATTATTTTTGTTTGGCAAAATTAATCTGATTTATTTATATTATTAAGAAAATTTGGAGAAACGATCGAGAGGCGTTTAATAAAGTTGTTCGTGATAATGTCAAGAAGACATTGGGATTATGAGCTAGATAATAATATATTGTTGAATTCTAATAAAAAATAATTGGTATGAATAAATAGTTATTACTTACGAATGCTTGTATTTACATTGTGAATTTTTATTTTTTTAGAATTTGTAAAAAAAAAAAAAATAATTGATAGATGTTCTAAGACGTCAAAAATCTCTATCCTGTAGTATGAAATGTTTTTGTGTTCATTATTTATTTCTTAGTTTAATATAGCTTAGTATAGTAATTCTAAGTTCTCAATATCATTTCACATCAGATAAAGTGGCATAGGCCGAGATTCCATTGCATTTTTGAGTCTCAATTTTTGTGGGTTTGTTTCATCATTTTTACATTGTACGAAACCTATGACGAAGTTTTTTTTTTTATAGCTGAAATTTTCTGACAAAAATCTATAGGAAGTAGAATCTCATAAACGTTTTTTCTTTTAGAGATGCCTAGTAATAGTGATGACATATATATAATACAATTACTATTAATTTCTGCTAGATGGCACGTACCTTATGCCTAACTGTATCTTAGGCGCAACGATGATTAGGTACTGGATGTCAAAAGATACCCTTGATCAATCATAGTTGATTAATTCATATATAAACTCACTAAGTGATTTTTAGCTAAATACTGTATAAACAATCGTCACTAATTTTGTAAATTATTAGATATTATATAAATATTATAATTACGAAGATTATTTTTACAATTTCAACCAAATTCGTATATTTTGATCTATTATCGTAAATCCCGATCTAGTGATTCAATCTTGATGATTGATACCTTTCGATCCTCTCACTATGAGGATTCGAATGGTATCAAAATCATCAAGATTGAATTACTAGATCGAGTTACCGATGATAGATCAAAATATACGAATTTATTGAAATACGAGTTTGGTCGACAAATCCCATATTAAAAATTTTAGATTACAAATAAAGAATCTTGATTAAGGTAGATAGTTGTATTTTTAATTCTGTAAAACTTATACGTATAAATATTAATTCTTCAAATTAGTAATTAAGCAAAATCGTTTTTTATTATCATTTTTGAATTTATTGTATTTGTAATATTGTATAAGCTGTAATAAAGTTCTTTTCTTAATTTAATAACTTTATAAATTTACTATAACAAGAGTAAATTGTAGTAATTTTAAACCTTTTATAATAAAACTACTTGCTTAGTTGTAATTTTGTTTTATTAAATAATTATTTAAGCAAATTTTTTTTTTTTAAATAGTACGTATGTACGTACAGTACGTAGCATTACGTATTAGAGTAACAAATACAGTAAAACGACCAAAATATTGATCGTACATGTGACAACACAATTCTTTAGATCTTGCAGACTTTTACTTTTCAAACTATTTATAAAAATAAACCTTTTACTAATAATGATTTATTATTTCTTATACTTTCGCATTATGAACAAGTATGTTATCATTATATGAATATTTTTTATTAATTTAATTGGTTAATGGTCACGTTTTGATCATCATAAATTAACCAAATTTATTACGAATATTCCAATTATATTTCGCTGTTAAATTACAAAATCTAGTTTCAAACTTTCACACTTTACAAAAGTTCAAAAGATGCCAAGCCATCAACTGAGTATTAATAGGTTAGAACAAAACATAGCATATCTTGATGACTACTTAGATACACTGGAATCGCTACCAGTAGAGATGCAGCGTAGCTTCACTCTAATGCAACAGCTCGATGCAAAAGCTCAAGAAGAGTTCGATAAGGTCGCTGAAGAATGCGTACAACTAGTACAACAAATAGGTGAGCTTTCATCCGAAGAAAGAACTGAACGACTTAGAAAATTCAGTAAAAGTTTGTCTGCAGCTGGTAAATATGCTGAAGAAAGAGTATCTCTTGCTACCGTAACTTATGATACCGTCGACCGTCATATAAGAAGACTTGACGATGACCTTCAAAAATTTGAAGATGAACAAATGACAGGTCCAGGAAGAATAAGTTCCACAGCAACGGCAAGCTCGTCTCGTGAAGAAAACTCCCGGAAACAACTTCAAAAGACTGAAAAAGAAAGGAAGGATGTTAAGGGTGAAAAAAGAGCACAACATAACGGTGAGACTTCGGCCCCTAAGAAACGTAAGACCGCAAAAAATGACGTTGGAACTCCACCTCCTTCAAATTCTAGACATCCCGTTGAGAAAGAACGTGAGAAACCCGTTAAAAATATAATGGTAGAAAGTCATTAAAATCTTTAATATGCTGTAAATTAAC